CGCAATCAATGGGAGGAAAACAATGGCGCTTACCCATTTGGAGGGGTGAAGGGAGCGGGGCTGCAGACGGGGCTTGCGCCACAGTCTGCTAGTTTGGGTGACTTTAAATTTAGCCTTTAAGGAGCAATGGTGCTTGAGTTGGCTTTTTTTTTTTTCTGTCTCTCTCAACTCCTTCAGAGCTCGGCCCCCTAAACCACAAATTCCACTTCCTGAGCGTTAGGAGCTTCTGCAACAACAACAACAAAAAAAAACCTTTTTTTTTTTAAAAAAAAACAAACCCAAAGGCCTCACAAATCAACACTGTTTCCCCTCCTCTCTCTCTCGTTTTTCCTGAATTAAGCCCTCTTACCGTATTCCACCTCACAAGGCTCGCCGAAGTGGCATCGGAGTGTCACTCCGGACTCGGGCGTTTCGTTTTCTCTGGGGGTTCTGCTCTAGAAATTACACACATCTATCTGAACTATTCTTGGATCCCCTTCAACTTCCGCAACGAGAACAAGTCACAGATTCAAAACACAGATTGACTCAACGCAGACGGAGGCAAAGGGCCGGGGACGGAGGCGCCCCGCCACCTCCAGGCACATGCCTATGCCCCGCGGCCGCCGCGACGTGCGCGCCGTTATAAGGGGGGCGAGGGCAGCGCCCTGGGCAATGGAGACCTCCCCCAGCCCAGAAATAACTTGTTGTGGAAAACTCTCTCGGGATAAATACGCCCAACAGCGCTGAAAATACCTAAAGACCCAAGCCTAGAGGTTTGCTCATTTCCCTTCGGATTTAGGTAATGGTTAAATATGGAAGGGGTAGGCGAGAGTCTCCCCCCCGCCCCGGCTGCGCACGGAGGCTACCGCAGCGTGCGTGATTCCACGGCAGAAGCGGGGCAGAGCGAGGCTCGCCGCCCGCAGCCCCGCCTAGGGCTCGCCGTGCGGGGCAGCACCGGCACCGCAGCGAGAGCGCTTCCCCCTGGGAGGCTCTGCGGGGCCCGGCGCGGCGGGCTCGCTCCTTTCTGCTGCGTCTTGTTTTATTTCACTGCCCTCTAGCCCCCCACGCCGAGTTTTTCAGGTTCAGCCTGTGATTCCTGATGCGGACAGGAAATCCAGCTCAGGTCGTCCGCTCTGGGAGTTTGGGCTGGGTATTTCTGAGGTGCTTCTGGGCTTCGTTGTTTGACTTCTCGGACATCCAGCTATGCATTTCCTTTCGATCGCGGCAGGGCCATTGGCTTTGCAGTGATCGGAGCGAGACTTAACGCCGCTTCCCACCCCGAAACGACGGAGACGCTCAGAGCGCGGCCGAAGAGGGGCAAGGCAGGAGCTCAGCCAGCCGCCCCCTCAGAGCCCGGGCACGCTGGAGCGGGAGCCGCTCTGTACCCCAGAAGTGCACATCAGCCACCTCGCGTCCGGGAGCCGCAGGGACAAACCCTCAGCCTGGCTTCCCAAAATCTAACGAAGCAAAGAAATAGCACAATTAAAACATAAAATAAAAATAATAAATTACACCTCTCCAACCTTTTAAATGCTGCTTTAGTAGTGACCCGAGGGGAATTGGAAGCACACGACTGACACAGCATCTTTAACACCTCCATTCGTGCCGGGAAGCTCCCGGTGCTGCTGGGCACAGCAGTTTGCTTGCGGCGTCTGTGCACCGCGGTCTCCTCGCCGCGCTTTTGTTTCACTACTGCGAAAATCGTGCACGTCGCCGTCTCGCAAAATAAATGGTGGAATCAGTAGAAATAACCAAATTAGCATAAGTCGGTATAACTCCATGCAAACGCCTGCGTGGATTCACTGCTTGTGACTTTTAGGAAAGCAGGCTGTCACGGTTACCTTCGACACGAGCTGATATATCTAGTAGCCTTTCGACTACCTTTTAGACCAGCGCTTCGGCAGTGCGCAATGAGAGCAACAGGAAAAAAAAATTACTACGATTGGGTACTGTTGCCGATAAACCGTTATGACTTGGGTACGAGAACGCATACCCGAGTTTGCACGTGTATAAACAGAAGCCAGCGCACGCATTGTTGGTGCCTCTAAAGCTGCCCTGCGTGAGGAAAACGCTCGCCGCCTTTCCCTAAGCACAGCGCTGAGCGGCGGGAGGCGGCCGGGGGCACGGCGTTCCCAGTGTCCTTCTCAGGAGAACGACAGCACCGCTTAACGGTTTTAACGCTCGGAGCCGGGCCCGGACGGCGCCAGGTGC